CCCCCCCCCCCCCACGCACACCCACCTGCGCCATCCCAGAGCCACTCTCTCCTGCCGAAACGCGGGCTCCATGGAGTGGTGAGTCCGGTGGGGCACGGATAGTCGCCCGGGCCCCTCGAGACCGTGGTAGAAGTCTTCGTAAGAGGAGAGGGCGTACTGCGGCAAAATAACACAGGGAAGAAGCGCCAGCCGCGTGTGCTTAGCGTGGTGCATGTGGGTCATTAGGGGAGCGACCCCTGGAGTTGCTGCCAACCCTCGCGGACAGTTAGTGTCAACTCTGATGCCCTGTTCCGGGCAAGCAACAGCATTGGTTGTGGATGAAACAATAAAAAACTCAACAGGCTGCGAACCTACTATCGGCTTGCCCAGGCGTTTAACTCAACGGCAGAAAAAGTGGACTGCTCATATCCAGCAAAGTATATATCTGATCAGCTTGGACAAGCAAAAAGAACTCTCTTCGTCTTCTAATCTGTTCTGGCCGTTGAACGACACACGAGACACAAAACAACGAAACCGGTGAAGTCATACAATTAGTCCGTACCCAGGCGAAGGAAAACAGGTACAGTTCTAGAGCAGACAGTTTCAGGTCGGGCGCCGCCCTCACGACCTCGGCAGCTGCCCCTCCCCCCACAAGGTCGCCTCCTGGAACCTCCTGAAACCTCACGGCGTGATGAGGCATCCGCCCCTGCGGGAACAAGCTGAAAAATTGGAGAGAAAGAGGCGACGGTGGAAGTGGGGACAACGCTTGCTGGGGTCATAACATATGAATACAGCAGGTGTACACCACAGGTTGCAAATATACCACGATAGAAAAACGTCCATGGTCAAGAGGATGGCAAATCAGATGATGCGTTGTCGGAAAGATCTCGACGAGACCGTTCCATCGCCATCATTTCCCGCATGATTACTGCATTCGCTGCAGAGTTAACGGGCCATGAAAATCGATCATCAGGGATTTGTGACCTGTGCGCCACCGGTCTTCTACGGCCAAGTATAAGATGAAGCAGCCACAAAAGGTACAAACGCAATCCCAACAATGACCGAAACAACGAAGTTGATAAAGCCTAACTGGTATGAAGGGACAAAACATACCACCACAGAGTGGCATTCGCAACACGATCTCCGACGCATTTGATGAAAAACTCTGTCGCAAAACAGCAACCTTGCAATGGCATCACGAGCTGCCACAAAGCTGAAAAAACACGGCATGACCCAGAGATAAGAACGATCCTCAGAACGGTCCTCGGAACGGTGATCCCGACGCCCCCAAGGGAGACAAGATGCGCAGCCAAGGGCTTGGAGCCTAAAGGACGCCAAGACTGAGCACCCCACGCACTCTCCCTTTACCTTGGAACGCCGACCCCCCATGACAAACACCCACAGCAGGCGTACTGTACCTAGGTGGGCTCGAAAGGCAGTGCGTGTAGAGCCGAGAGTTTTCGAACAAGACCAGCCCAGGCAAACCCTCGTGCCTCAGAAAGGCCAGAGTGTGCGGCGGCATGGGTGGGCTCGTACACGTGAAGGAGTACCACACTTTCTGCGGCTCTCTGTCAACACCGAAAAAAAAAAGAAATTGAGCATGCCAGAAAGCGAGGCGAGCATGGCAACGAGAATCGTTACCTCCGTTGTTTTCTGGTGACCGGGGGCAGCGAGGCACTCGTTCTCAAAGGTGCGTGCAAGCATCAGTGATCAGGCGTACTTGTACGAAAGGGTAGGAAACTTCGACCGCGAGGTGTTGCTTCTTCACTGCTGCATGCACCGCAAAGGCAAACACCGCCACAGCACCCCAGCAGCCAACACCCCACATTCAAGTTGCAAGCGATGTGGCGGGCCTACAACGAGAGCGTCTTATTTTCAAGCGAAATGCATCAAAGCCAAAACTCGTCCGGAGCTCGAACGGTCAAAATGATTGTCGCTCTAAGCTGTACCTCGAATTCACCCCCACGAGGACGGGCTCAAACTAACGTTAACCCTCACCACAGCAGACGGCGTTGGATTTGCATGCACGCCGAAGGGAGAATCTCGATTCATGTTGGCATCGCGCGTAACAAAACATGACGCTTCGTGGCAACGTTTCAAGTCGTGCCGCGGACCCCCCCAGTCCCTATTTACTCCAATGATTCTGCGGGACTACTGGCTTATAGTCAGCGCTTTCTTCGCTATTGGCGAGGAGCGCCGTTTCTGGACCACTCGAAAAAAAGAAAACATAGCGAAACATGTTTCAGTTTGTATCTGGAATGTTGAGGGTGCCAAAAGAGGCCGAATAGGCTTCTTGCCACGGCTGGAGGTGGTAGTGAAGATACCAGGTACATCATGCTGCGTACTCACAGAAGCACGCTGAAGAGATTCTTGGTGTCAGGAGGAGACGACTCCGGGGGGCGAGCCAGCAGGAGCGACAGCAGCGAAACCGCCATGGGTTCCATGCCGCACAATCTCGGATCGCCCGGCCTATTCCTCCTCCTGCTGTTGCTGTTCCTGCTGATGTTGAGTTGCCGCGCGACAGCAGTTCCACCGCACGAACACAAGAACAAGTTTGATTGCGGTCAACATCGAGCAATGACGAGCTCCGATGCGGGCAAGACGCAATCTCGGCGTGGGTACAGCAGCAGTGGCATAAGTGGAGGAGTCTTTTTCAAGGCGGACACACAAGGCATCGCCGGAGATGCCTGTATATCATGCACGGATGAGACTGGCACACACAGCAGTACAGTCACCGGCATCTGAACAACAATTGGACAAAATACCCCCCCTGTTATCCATACGTAGGTCAAAGCTATCCAAGGCGAACAGCGGTTAGTCGATAATACCACGAATGACAACGAACGCAACCCCTTACGCCGCCCGTGCAACATGAATTCAACGCGTTGCTCTCTAACAACAATTTTGAATGTGGCACCACCCTCGTCGGTCCCATAGAGGAGGACCGTTGGCAGATGCTCGAGTGGATCGGCAACAAAAATCCGGTGGTGCAACCCCTTTCCCCTCCTCCTTCGCCGCGCCCCCTCTCCGGCCTCACCTGCTACTCGACCCTCCAGCGCGCGTTGGTTTCAGGGCGTCGGACAGGCCCGAAACGCTGTAGAATGAGGTGCTGGATGAGAGAGAGAGCGAGAGAGAGAGCGAGCGAGAGCGAGATTTAGACGAGAGAGAGGCAACCTGTCACCGGATGATCCCCGACAACATCGACGGAAACCGCTGGAGCGGTGCCTGCCCTCATGCGGCTTCTTCAGTCAAGTGGAATGTTACATAACCGCCGGCCAATGCAAACTACATGGAGGAGGACGATGACATCAACAAGCGGCCAAGACAAGGAGAGGCAGAGAGAGAGAGAGAGAGAGAGAGAGAGAGAGAGAGAGAGAGAGAGAGAGAGAG